TATGTTATTTTTATTATATTTATGTACATATATGTATATATATTCTTCCTTTTAACATGTAAATTAATATACGTGGAAATTCAAATTAAACTCAAGTCGAAATTTCATAACATAGGATGCTTGGTTTGCATCTCATGTATGTGAAACATCTAATTTACCTCCCTATAAAATTTTTAAGTTTTCATTACAAAAAGGACATCAAAAAATTATTTTATTACATTGAAGTGTTTTATCATTTTAATTTTAATTTTTGTTTTATCTTACAATTATTTTATATTATATGTGTGATAATTCAATATATATATCGTACATTGGAAATTCCAAGCGATACACTTTCTGAGAACGCTGAACCTTTTGCGAATTGGAATCGAGTTTAGGACTGTTTCTGAGTAATCCCCGTTATAAATAACTGACGACATTCGCGTGATTGCTAATTCCGGACTCTTCTCCGGGGGATTGCAGCACGTGCAGAGCGCCGAGAATTCACAAGGCGCTTCCGCCCGCGGCACTCTACGCCGCAAGGAGCACAAAAAGGTCCTGACTCACCACCTGTACTTCTGCATGCGGGACTTTGGCCACTCGGTCGGCGAAGACACCGAGATCTATTTTTCCTTGTTCGACGCTAAGCGCCAGCAATATCTGAGCGAGCGTTTCCTGGTGCGCATCAGCAAGGACGGCTTCTCAAATTACGTAGAGAAGATGCACAGCAACTGCACTATCTTTACGGATTTAGGCAATTCCGACCTGAGCCGCGATCTCTACATGATCGCACACGTGATGCGTTGCGGCCGGATGTTATATTCGGACTCTGGTAAGAACAAGACCGGCACCGCGACTTATCGTCGACCGCACGGAGTGGCGGTTCTTTCCTTGGCGGAAGCTGCGCAGGATCATACCGAAGAACTCGAAATGACCTTTAAGGTAAGTAAAATTGGCGAATCAAACACCGATCTTTTATTTAAAAATTTCGTTCTCTTTTTTTATTTAAAAAAGCGAATAAAATCATAATTCTTCAAATAAGTTTAAATAAGTTTGATAAAAAATTTAATTTCTCAATTTTTTAAATTTCTCTCTGTCTCAAATTATCACTTTTAAGATCGCGCAACGATGAGAGACTTCCGCTTTTGTGCAGGTATATCAAGGTGAGGAGAAAGAGTTCCACCAGTTGCACGAGCAAATCATACGTAACAACAAGTGTTCTCCTCTACCCGGACAGCCCAATTACGGAATCGTCGTATCCCTGCGTATTCTGCACGGCGAATTGTCCCAGGTTCGGGAAGAGAACCCGTTGCTATTCAAGAATATCTGTCTCACGAAGAAGCTCGGTTTCTCGGACGTCATTATGCCGGGCGACGTGCGTAACGATCTCTATCTGAAATTGGAACGCGGAGAATTCGAACGCGGCGGCAAATCTACCGGCAAAAACATCGAGGTGCGAAAAAATAAATTACGCAGAAAATATTTTTCTCTCATATATAAATGTGTGTATCTTATTTTAAAAACAAAAAAGTCTTATTTTAAAGTCTTATTTTAAAAACAAAAGAGTTATTAATTTTCAATTAATGAAAACTATTAAAATTTTCTCTTTGCACTTTAACAAATTCAAGCATTATTCACAGAGTTTGATTTATTACGATTAGGTGACTATCCTGGTTCTGGACGCGGACGGTCAGCCTTTGGAAGAATGTCTTTTCGGAGCCGCCGGCATGGACGGCAGCTCCGAATATCAAAGTTTGGTCATATACCATCACAATAGCCCGTCGTGGGCGGAAACCATGAGACTGGCGATACCCATCGACAAGTTCTATGGGAGTCACGTACGATTTGAATTTCGACATTGTTCCAGTGAGTTTCAATAAACTAAATGGACAATAATACTTAATCTTCTTTTAATTTAATTTTCCACTTTTGTTTTCTATCCCTTTACTTTCCCACTTTATATCAAAATTTATCTGTTTTCTTCTTCCAATGAGTGACTTTTTATTTCAGCACGCGAGAAGAACGACAAGAAGCTGTTTGCCTTCGCATTCGTCCGTTTGATGGAACCTGGAGGTGCCACTCTCCAAGACGGTCCGCACGAATTGTATATTTACAAATGCGAGGAACGCGCGAAATTGGATTCCCTGAGTTATCTGGCCTTGCCGAGCAGCGCGAGAGAACCGGTTGCTTCGGGTAAATCCGAGTTTTTTTTTATATGCAAATAACTCATACAAATTTTTTTTAATGTAAAGTTCAATTTCCAGAAAAATTATGAAAGAAAAAATTGTCAAAAAATTTCCTGGTTATTATGTATTTTAGCTAATTAAAACTATTATTTACTTTTGTTAAATAAAATTATTTCTTTCACTGTATGTAGGCCCTACAGCTTTCTCCAGGTCGCCAAAAGAAACTGTGTTCGTGCACACTTTGCTCTGCAGCACCAAGCTTACGCAAAACGTCGACTTACTCAGCCTGCTGCAGTGGAAAGCCCATCCCGAGCGAATATCAGAAGCTCTTGGTCGCGTGCTTCGACTAGACGGAGAGGAGTTGGTCAAGTTTCTACAGGATATTCTCGATGCGTTGTTCGCCATGTTTCACACGGAGGACGGCAATTCTACGGCACACTCTGGCCTAGTTTTTCAAGTTCTTGTGTCCATCTTCAGTCTGCTCGAGGATTCGAAGTTTGAGCACTTCAAGCCGGTGATGGACGCTTACATCTCGGATCACTTTGCCGCAGCTCTTGTGTACAAGGGCCTCCTCAGCAGCGTGCAGCACTGCGCCGACTGGGTGACCGCAGCGGAAAAGCAAGAACCGATCATGAAGTGTTTCCGCTCGCTAGAATACATCTTCAAGTTTATTATTCAGAGTCGGCTGCTGTTTGCTCGCGCCACCGCCGGCCAGTACGAGGACAGCTTCAAGCGCGACCTGTATTGCGTGTTTGCGGCGCTTAACAAAATGCTCGGCATCCCCTACGAAATGGTGCTGCTGTCGCAGATCGCGCTGCTGTTGTCGATCGCGGCGGTGTTCGAACAGCTTGTGGCGGTTCTACCGATTCTCGAGGTGGCCAAACTCACTTGCACAATGCTCGACTCGATGCCTCGAGAGCCATCGTTGCAGCTCACAAAAGCAAAACTGGTTGCCATCAAGAATCTTACGATGTCCAGTTTGTTCCGTGATGACGACGAGAGCCGCAACTTGTTGCTTGTCACCGTATGCCGTCACCTGCGCATTCACCTAGCTCGCCGGGAAGAACTGCCGTCTTGCACCGATATTTTGGGTGAAATACTCAGCTTTCTGCACAAGCGCGGCAGGGACACAAACAAGGTCAACAACTGTATCCACCACGACGTCGAAACACTCTGCCTATCGGTACTTGACGTACTCATACAGACAATATTGATTGTGATCAACGCCAGTGGACAGGTCCTCGGTTGTCTCGTCGCTTGTCTGATCGGGTTGCTCCAGCTACTCGACGAATACCATTACGCTCGACTCTGGGAAGAGCTGACGCATGCCGGCGATCGAAAACCGCTCAAAGATTTTCTGCTGCGAGTGTTTCTGGTGCTGCGCGATCTCGTGCGCCAGGAAGTGTTCCCGCCAGACTGGTTGGTTATCAGGATGCAGGCCAACAATGTCATTCTGCGGTCGCTGCAGGAACTCGCGCAGCCGCTTGCCTTCCGCTTTCTCCATGGCAGCTTCGACTCGCAGCTATGGTCCACATACTTCAATTTGGCGGTGGCTTATCTCACCCAACCGTCGCTCCAACTTGAACAGTTTTCCGAAGTAAAACGGGAGAAGATCGTGGAGAAGTACGGCGACATGAGAGTGCTCATGGGATTCCAGATATTGTCTATGTGGTCGCATCTGGGTGAGCGTAAGCTCGAATTCATACCGGGCATGGTGGGGCCTTTCCTCGAAGTCACTCTCGTACCGGAGAGCGAACTTCGCAAGGCGACTTTACATATCTTCTTTGACATGATGGAGTGCGAGCAGCAGGGTCGCGGCAGCTTCAAATCGGTGGAGTCAGAGTTGATCGACAAGCTCGATATTCTTATCAGCGAGAACAAGGGCGACGACGAATATAGGCAACTGTTCAATACCATGTAAGCAATTAGTTCAATAAAAAATTTTAATAAAGAATTACTATTTTTTAGAACCGCTATTTTAATTTTTTTAACACATATATGAGAAAATATTACGCAAAATTTGTCATATTTTCATGCCGCTTCAGGGAACATCTTAGTGCCGTGTAAGTCTAACGTTAAAATGTGATTTTATTCGAAAGCATTTAGTCATTTATGTCTGATAATATCAACACACAAACTTGCTTACAGATTATTGGATAGAGTGCAGTCGGAAGATCCAACTTGGAAGGACAGCGGTACAGCTTTCATAACGTCTGTTACGCGTTTATTGGAAAGACTTCTCGATTATAGAAGCGTCATTCAGGGTGACGAGAATCGCGACAAGCGCATGTCATGCACCGTAAATCTCTTGGTGCGTATTAAGAAAAAATTCAAAAATCTTATTTATATTTTATACAAAAAAATTCCAAGAAACTTCATATTTTTTGTAATAATCTTACAATTATAATATTAAGGTTTCTTGATATTTTTCGATATTTTTTAGATACGTCTAGATATTTCTTCTATTTATTTTTTTAAGTTTCTAGATATTTCTGTATAAAATAAATAAGATTTGTATGTGTGTGTGTGTAAAATAGCTATATCACTCAAAAAATGTGCGACACGTGCGATAGTTTAGCTATATCTAGAAATTACTTCCTCGATTTAGCGAGTTAATTAACTGAACCGTGCAATACACAACGATTATTACTCAACATTAGATATATACTTTATGCACAGATAACACACACTCTGCGATATTTAGCACTCGAATTCGCGGCGTTGCCCGATGGAAATTTTATTTCTTCGCGCGTACTCGCCATTCATTGATACAGAAGAGAGTTAGACTTGTTAGAACGTGATCATGGGAATACTACTGCTCTTCCTACAGAATTTCTACAAGAACGAGTTTAATCGGAAAGAGATGTATCTGCGCTACATCTACAAGCTGCACGATCTTCATTTGGCCGCCGAGAATTACACGGAAGCCGGCTTCACGATGAAACTGTACGCCGATCAATTGGGCTGGGGCTCGACCATCCTACCGCCTGATCACGCCCATCCTCAGCAACCCGAGTGGCAACGCAAGGAGCTACTTTACCACAAGATCATTCATTATCTCGATCGCGGCAAGTGCTGGGAGAAAGGCATTCCGCTGTGCAAGGAGCTGGCGGTTCTTTACGAGACCCGACTGTACGATTACGCCAAGCTCAGTAACGTGTTAAAGCTGCAGGCCAAGTTCCTAGATAACATTTTGACGCAATTACGTCCGGAACCGGAATACTTCCGCGTGGGATTTTATGGTCTCAGCTTTCCACTTTTCGTTAGAGTAAGTTCGGTCGCTTATCGATGGTGTCTCAAAAATATTACATTCGTACAGTTTGATGTAGCATTTTTATATTCATTCTAGAACAAGCTGTTCATTTATCGCGGTTTGGAGTACGAGCGAATCGGGGCATTTACGCAACGATTGCAGACAGAGTTTCCCTGCGCGCAGATTTTGATGAAGAATTCTCCCCCTGACGAGAGTATTTTGACGTCTGAGGGTCAATGTAAGTGAGATCGGTGAAGCAAAAAAAAAAAAAAAACGATAGACTCCAATTATTAAAAAAAATGTTTTTTTATTTGATAATTATTATAAGTTTTTTATTTAATAATATATTTAAGTTTTGGTACATTGCTCTAGATATTCAAATTTGTAATGTGAAGCCGATTCCCGAGGAGGGCAGTCTGGGTTGCAGCGGCGTCGAAGTTCCGGAGCGTGTGGTCGCTTTTTATCTGGTGAACGACGTGCGCAAATTTACATTTGACCGGCCGCTACATCGCGGCCCAGTGGACCGTGAAAACGAATTCAAGTCGTTATGGATCGAAAGAACGACACTGACGACGGAAGCAAAGCTACCGGGAATTCTCAGATGGTTTGAGGTGATCGAGAAACGATCAGAGCTTTTGGCACCGGTGCAATACGCCTGCGAAACGATGCAGAGCGTGGAAAGAGAGTTGAGGCGATTGATGGCACAGTACACCGCGGAGCCGCACAGAAACATCAATCCGTTCAGCATGCGGCTGCAAGGTATCATCGATGCGAACGTGATGGGTGGCATCACAAAGTATCAGGAAGCGTTCCTCACGCCAGAATTCGCACGGCAAAATCCCGAAATGGTGCCACACGTGAACAGACTGAAAGGATTGATTCTGGATCAGATGAGCGTTTTGGAATCAGGACTAGTGTTGCACGGTCAGATCGCGCCGACTGGCGTCCAGCCACTGCACAAGAGGCTGATCGAAAGATTCACGCAGCTCAAACAAGGTCTCGGCTCGTTAGCCAGACAGAGAACCATTCATCAAGATAGCATTGTGAAGTAATTATCAGACTGTGTACAGTGTAAAAAACATTTTAAAAATTATTGATACAAACACGCATTTCTTTGCATAAACGTATTATAAATTTTAGTTCACCTCTGCCACCTCTGCCGGTCAACGATAAGCAGCGTCCAGCCACTTTGGAAACTGCCGGTTCCAGAGTGTCGCATGCCGACAGCGACGGACTTCCCGAGGATGAGGGCTTTTACACCCGAGTTGACGGCGCGCCACCGCCTATTCCACAACGAGAAGTCCGGCCGCGTTCCGTTGGCTATGGCACAACTCCGCCCAGACCTACGCACCAAAGATCTCTCAGCAAACCGCTGAGTCCGAAACTGCCATTGAGGCATTCCTTGCCTACTCCGACTGACGGTGTGGACCAAAGCGGCCTTAGAACTTCCTGGAGCGAACCTGGACCTGAACCCGCTCCGCCGTTACCACCCAGAGGATGTAGTAAGTTAATTTCTTTTATTTCAAATTTTATAAGTGTTTATTTTTATGTTGTCCACACGTTTTAACGACAAAATTCACCGAGAAATGTATCCGTGACTTGTATAAGTATAGCGTTCTCTATTTTAGCGCCAGATAAGAGGGATTCCTCAAATATGAATACGAACACGATGGTGCCGCCGGCGCCTCCCAAACGCGGTTTAACTCACAAACGCACAAATACAGAATGGAGCACAGACGACGACTCCGAGATCACAGAACCGAGAAACGACCAGAGCGACCTTCGCGATAGCGGCATTTCCACGGCCAGTCTTCTGGACTTTCAGTCACACATGTCGAATCTGAACAATCTCGGCTACGAGGACTTTGAGCCACGATCCAGATGCAACGACATCATGAACATTTCGCCACCGTCTGTGATAATCCCGCTCAACATTTCCGGCAGCTTTTCCAGTACTACATTCCAGGGCTCGCAGTCTCTCCCGAATCAAGAGGTGAGTAAAAAATAAAACAGATTTCTATACAAATCCAGTTATCGTCAATAACCGATGTGTCTTTTTGCAGGTAAGTCCTCCACCAATTCCACCGAAGGCTCATCAAGACGTCCCTTCGGCGCCTTCGAGTCTGGAAAGGGTGCCTAGAACGCACAGCCACGGCCACTCGGAGAATTACTCCGTACCGAAGATGCAGACGCTCTCCGTGGCGTCAGACACGGAGAGCACTGTGTAGCAACAAATATATTTCCCTAGTCTCCTAGCGATTAGTTTTAAGTGATGTACGTGCCATTATGGTCAAAAGCGCGAATCATATATTCGATTTATACGTCCCTCGTATCGTCGAGCGGGATTTTCTTAGACAGTAATTTGAGATAAGAGAATATCGTCGTCGTCGTCGTCGTCGTCGTCGTTGTTATCATCATTATCATCATCATCATCATCATCGTCATCGTCATCGTCATCGTCATCGTCATCGTCATCGTCATCGTCATCGTCATCGTCATATCTAGTGAACGAAAGACGGAAAAAACTGACTTTGATTTTGCTTGTCGTTCAGAAATCTCTGTTATATCTGTAAATCATCCTTTTTGTGCGTAGTCGATAGCTGAATACCTGAAATCAAACTAAACTTTCGATATGTAACACGGACTATATTTCAACTCGCTTATATTCGTACCTTTGTAGAAAGTTAAAGAAGAAACAGATGCGTATTATTAGAATGTTCTTGCATAACGAGAACGTCCAGCGAGAATTTGATTCTTGTCTGGACGCGATTGACGATCAAAAAAAAAAAACAAATTATATATATTTATCGATATATATATATATATATATATATATATATGTGTATATATATATCGACTTTACGTTATATAAAAGATCGCTCTTCCAATGTATCACTCCACATATATACCGACACTATATTTTGTAACTTATTTATATTTTCGAGAATAAAGGTAATTTTTAAATCAATGACACTGTCAAACACTACGACATGTGATTATCGTGATGGCGCAATTGTCAGAAGGGAAGGGCAACTAAAGTGAGGAGAATCAGCAGCTTCGTCTCTCGATGCTAAAGAGTATATAAATTATGTATTTCGTGTCACAGTTCTCTTTTCTCTTTGTCATATGAATATAGTATATATATACAAAAGTATTTAAAAAAATCTTGTCGCACGATTGTACGCTTCGACTTATTACTATTTCTTCTTTTTCTTCTTCTTATTATTCTTCTTCTTCATGGCATGTAAAATAAAGAGAGGGAGAGAAAGAGAGAGAGTGAAAGTAAGAGAGAAGAAAGATTGCGAATCTCTATAAAAAATAGAATGGAAAAATAGAACTAAATATAGAAATTAAGATTATACAGATGTAAGTATAGGAAAAAGAGAGAGAGAGAGAGAGAGAGGGAAGGTAGAGAAAGGCAGTGGAATGTATACATTGCACAATACTGAGCTCAAGAAGATAACTTAAGAATAACGATGGAACGATACTAATGAGTTGCGCGCGATAATAATCAGAGATCATTTTTCGTTCTCCGTACTTCGCTGGGACTTCATCGCGACGACAAACGAGCGACGAGGATCCGCGACGAGTAATCGGAGACTTACAAATCGCGAGAGTCGAGTCGCGCTCCTTCAAGTCAAAAATATAATAATAATAATAATAATAACAACAAGCGCAAGAGTATTATTTATATCGGATCGATCGGAGTGATCAAACGAAATTCGGCAAGATGCGGGATAAATTTGTAATTTTAGAAATATCTACTGTAAATACTACAAAATAATTATGTGTGTTTGGTATCTAAAATACATTTTATATATTATGAAGTTTTATCTCGCTTTTTAGTGTCTTTTAGTGTTTTGATGAAGGCAGTGCAATATTTTTCAACGATACAAACTCAATCGTCAATTCTCACTGATGTTTTTTTTAAACATATAAGTACAATTGTCGATTTGAAAAGAAAAGTTTGTCGCTCATATTGGGATCATTGAAAAATATTCCACGGCGCAAAGTTCTCGTTTCTTGTCACTCCGAAAGATCTTACGCGTGTGCAATATATGAACAGGCACTCACATACATATGCTAATTAAAATATGGCTAAATGTATAAGTACAGTCATGGCCGCTTCTTAAAATGTATATATATATATATATAATCGACAATGGCTCGAGAGTCTTTATTGCGCATTGGATACTTAAGCTAAGTTGTAAGCTAAATTACTTTGTACGTTCTCGTTTGTGGCACGGACCTCGTCAGACGGACGTTTCCGCATTAGTATCCTTCCTGTAACAGCGACAATTAGCAATTATTTGTGATGTGAGACATCGCGAGATGCCGCGAGAAATTTAACGAATTAAGGGCAATTATTATACGAGAGAGAGAGAGAAAGAGAGAGAGACGCCGTGCTTACCTCCTCGCTGGATGATAGATTTGACAGTCGTCAGGGCAAGCGAGATCACAGAAAAGATACAGTTTATGTTAGAATGTTCCAACGCCACCTTTTGCGCATACAGCGAGGGGAAAAACGGAAAAAACTAAGGAAACCACAATAAATTAACGAGCATTGCAAATGGATTTGCACTAAATAATGTTAACTTAAGTATGTAGTTAGATGCTTTGTTTATCTTTTTTTTTTTACATACGTTGGATGTGACATATTTGTATTTGTAGTCGTTTTGTACATTATTTTATATTTCTCTGCGTAAACCAAGAATTCAATCTGTGTCCAAATTGTCGTTTATATAAAGGTTTCTATATTTTTATTCAAATAATAACGAAGTGGTTTTATTTCTGAACTATTCTCATTTCAGACATATCAAATCCATCGTACATACATAAAAGTCCGATCAAACGTTCTACCATGCGTAGCTCTTGAAATAAACCCGATAGCCAATTGAAAAAAAAAAAACATTTCCCAAATATTCAAACACGACGTATTCGCACTACTCACTCAGTCTCGGTGATGGTCTGCTCATACTGTTGCTGTTGCTGTTGCTGTTGCTGCTGCTGCTGCTGCTGCTGCCTTAGCGCCGCCAACTCGTTGCTGTGCTGCAGATCGTGCGTCAGCGAGCTCGACAATATTCTGCCGCTCATAGGCAGGATATACTCGGGCGTGTCCTCCAGCACCGTGGGCGTGCCCATCTTGCCGCGCTTGAGGCTACCGTATCTCTCGGAACCACTCAAGTTGTCGTGCTGCGAGCCGTGCAGACTCTGACCGCGCTTCAGGCTGCCGTAGCGCTGCTCGGACCCGCTCAGGTTCTCGTGATTCGAGTTCTGCGAGTGATGGCTCATGCTGGACGCGAGAATGCGCGACGACATCGACAGCATGTACGGAGTGGGCGATATCGTGTGGTCTTCCTCAGCAGTGTAGGGGAACAAATACTTCTCGCCCAGATGGTGCACTTTCTCCTCACCCTCCGAGTAGTTCTCGTCCGGTTGGCTTTTCTGCGGCGAGCTCATCTCCGGATACGGTAACGGGTTCGGGCTTGACGTTTTGTTCGACGCCATTTCGTTGTCCGATATCGTGCCGCCCGACCACTGACTGCCCCGCACGTCCATCACTGAAATGTATAAAAATTATTGAATTTTCTTTTCTCTTTTCTGTCCTCATCTAAAGATCTATTATTTACATATGTAATTATTTTTAATATAAAATTAAATATAACATGCAAGTGAATATTTGTCAACTCACCATTCGATGATAAATACGCTTCCGGCAACTGGGAGCTCCATCGGGGAGCGTAGATGGGTTTAATGTTGGGGAACAACTCGGCGTTTGAGCAAAGTATATTCAGGTGTTCAGCGGGGTTGGTGTGAATGTTGGGCAAGTAACTATGGGCGACGTGTTGCTGCGTCGACACTCCCATATTTCTGTGCGATCTCGAAGTGACGTCGTCTTCGTCGGAGCTATGTGAGCTCGCGAGGTCCAGGCTTCTGCCACCTCCCTCGGCCTGCGAGCCATCGGAGTCCGATTCCGATTCTCTGCGTTGAGTTCTCGGCTCCGTAGATTCTGTCGAAGACATTACTATAAGAGACATTACACATATGCGATAAAATAAATATGTATAATCTCTTGTCTTTTGTCATACTTAAAAAATCTAAAATAATTTTCAACGAAAAATCTCTCTTTACCTGGCTGAGAATGCAGCGCTGACCGGTGACTTCTCGATGACAAATACGGATCTCGATCGCTGTTGTAGTTGCTCGTGGACGTTGACGTGTGTCTTAGATGCGTGTCACTGCGATACGGACTCGAGCCAGTTTTATTTGTACTTCGCGAGGTCGTGCTACTCGTGGAGACGCCGACGTGAACTCTTCTGCACACCGATTTGGCTCCACTGTAGGTCGACGAGTAAGCTAGCGCCGAGCGCTGAAATATAATCATCAGTGTTTCTAATATTCAATGTTGTAACTCAGATAATTTGTCTCATATGAGTTCTAATTTACATTCTAATTTACCGAATGTCCGTTCACGTTCTGACTGCTGCTTCCGTTGTCCATGCTGCCTTCCAGCAGAGATGATTTCTTGCCAATACACTTCAACAGGCTTTGGTACAGATTTCTCCTCACTCTGCCGTTAATGAAGCAGTAGCCGATTAAGCTGAACGCCGCGTGAATTACGACGGAGATGCTCAGCAAGTACGACAGCATCGACGAGTTCTGGGAAGCGTTGAGAACTGCCAGAGTCCACGTCGATCCCAACAATGGCAACGACGCAACCGAGAGCCACAGAAGCGTTCGCAGATTTCCGAAACCCATGATGTGTTCTTTCAGAGTAAACGCTGCGCGAACGCACATCACGAGAATGCAGAAGTTCACTAACACTGCCGCGCAGACTGGTCCTATCAGAGACCAAATTACGGTCTCGTAGATAGATAGCCAGCAACTAGAAAAAGTTGTTATTTAAAAGATTAAATATCTAGAAAAAATACGTAAAAAAATACATAAAAGAATAAATATTGTTTAGATTAACATACAAGTAGAAGTTTCCGTATTGATCGGCTCTGACGCCGATAGTTAGTCCAACGATGACAGCCGGCAGACCGTATCCCATAGTGTAGTAGAATCTCATCTGGCCGTGGTTCACGTCCCTCATCTCTGTCAGCATCCGGTAAAGATGCACGGAATCCACGAGAGTCCAGGAAAAGGTGCTCAACCAAGCGTAGTGCAGTCCAATCGCTGTCAACTTGCACGTGAATTCGTTCGAGATGAGCGGATTCCTCGCCTTGAGCGCGATTAGGTACAAAGTCTCCGCTATGAGGACGCAGAGAACCAGATTTTTGTGGATGCTGTTGGAGTTGGTGCTCCCGCCGCGAATCAACGCCAGAATCAAGAGGGCGGACAGTAACAGCGGCAAGGCAAGCATAAACGCGCTGTAGCTGGTCACATCTTCCAGCAGCGACGGCTCAGGAACATATTCCAGATCGAGGACGTCGGTCAGTATCGCGAAAGTAGACAGTTGCATGCAAGAGCAGTTCACGATAGTGCCAAAAGTCAGAGAGTTGTCTTCAATCTCTGTGGTGCAGCCCATTCGACTCCATTCACCGGATCTAAGAGATTTACTGAGTTAAATTACAATGAAAAAAAAATTTATAAAATACACAATTAGAGATAAATACAAACTAACCCTCTTGCGGTACTCCAGTGAACGCACTGCGGATTCGTTCTGGTTTTGAAATCATCGTTCTCATTAAGCCAAAGTCGAACTTGGATGGGAGATTGCAAAGGTACTCCTGTCAAGGACTCATAGCCGTTCTCGGAGGGAACCAACACGGAAACGGTCATCACGGGCGAGCCGACTGCTACTTCCACGCCCCATCTAACCGACACCGAATCGTCGAATCTGTGATATAAAAAATATCGTTATTAAAGGTATGATATCTGTTGTATTTAATAACATACGTTATTTCACGTTTACGTACTTTTGTGGCAGAAGAGCACCGAGTTCTTTGTACTGCACGTAGCTTAGCACAGCTTTTCGATTACTCAGACTGTTCTTGGTGTTCAGCTCGCCCTGCATGAGGGGTGTGATACCCAACGTATTGAGCGGCACTTGAATCTTCGAATGCGGATCGAATCTGTTGGGATCGGCCATGTAATTGTTGTACTTTGGGAAACTGATAGACGGACCGAAATGAGCTGGGGAACTAAGAAAAGCAGATGTGTCGGGAAGAATGACTTTCTGATCTGCTTCCGAAGGCCTCACCGTAGACAAAGTGGGATCCTCTTTGTATTCAATGGCCTCGTAACCGTAAAGACTCTCGGATGTCACGACGTCTAAACCCAGCACTAAGAATACAAATACATACTTAATAAAAGTAAAATTAATACAAATTTATACAAAAAGGAAAAAGATAAAGAAATATTCACCAACGTTACTATCGACCACTTCAAAAGGATTAGTGAATGTATCATGTTGAGACGCTGTTAGAGTCTTGAGATATCTTGCCATGACGTCCAGGATTTTATCAGAACTATCTCCGGTAAGTTCCGCGATCTTTTCCCATTTTTCTTTATATTTAGCTTTGAGAATGGCTCCAGCTATGCCAACGAGATGGGAGACATAGTCCTTGTCCTGGCTGTGCGTCAAGTTCAGTCCTACTAAACTCTCTTCGTAACGCAATAACGTTACCAGTAAAGATTCCGCCACTAAAAGATCCGCACCATACATTTCCCTGGTGATGTTTACCGCTCTGTAAACATCCTTTGCTATCTTCACGGCTACGTAAGTATTCAGCGTAAGATCTTTAGTCTCTAAAGCTGCTAGCTGATGTCGTTGTTCAATGAAGGCCTCTGAGGTGCAGTTAAAAAGATCGGGTAGTTGCCAGCCGCCCAGTTTGTCGTCACAAGATCTAGAGGCTTTGCCTTCGGCATTACCAGGACAATCCTCGATGGCTGTCATCCCGAAAAGAGTTCGCGGCCACCAGAGACCGTCCGAATACGATTTGGGACAACCATCGTAGACTACCTCACAGCCTCTTAAAGTTACCTCAGCGTACGGATTCGGACAGTCAGTGCACGAGCGACCAATCACGCCGGTTCGACAGCGACATTGCCCGGTCTCGCTGTCACATCGCGGTCCAAAACTTCCGATTGCGTAGCAATCGCAAGGTATGCACTCCTTGCGTCCAGTTGGCTGGTAGTGGTTCTCCTTGCAGTAGCATTCGCCAGTGGTCTTGTTACAAGCCGGATCGTATCCTTTAGTCTCGTCGCAGTGGCAAGGTCCGCAGACTGGCGATCCCCACCACGTCGCCGGACACGGCTGATCGGCTCTGACCTCGCAGTAATCACCCGAGTATTCGGGCGAGATGCACTCGCAACGATAGCCACGTCGCGTGTCGCTTGCGTCCTCAATGCAAGTGCCGGTACCGTTGCAAGGTTCCAGATCGCAAACGCGTTCGCAGCTGCGACCGACGTGACCGGGGGCGCAGACGCACTCACTGGATTGCCATTGAGTGACGCAAGTCGAGGCTTCCGGACAGTCCAGGCTGCATAGGGACTCAGACAGACAGCCCTCACCTACATTTTCCTGAACGGTCGGCCGTTGAAGAACACTTTGATTTGTGCCGATGCGCACGTCTTGTAGACAGCCGTCGAAGAAGGGCAGATCGGTGCTGGTCGCCTGATCCTGACCGCCTACAAGAATCTTGCCAACGTAGAGGCCTTGCAGCTTTGCTGGTAACGGCAATGTGATGGGTCGATTGCGGTAATCCACGTCCAAAGACACGTGACCGCTCTGCCAGACGACCTCCAACCGATGCCACTCGCCGTCAGCGATGACAGTAGCGGTGCGGATTACTTCGATGCCGTCCAGAGAGACTACTAGCTTGTTGTTTCGGATCTCGAAAAGGGCCGAACTGTTCTGGCCGATCTGCACACTCATGACGAAAGCCTGTTGCGTTCGAGTTCGCAGACTGAAAGCAGTCAACCAGGGCAGTTGGATGGGTCTCAAAAGAGGATTGAAACTGAGCATGCCCTCGCCGTGAAAATTCCACGGCTTGCCAATCTCTTCGGCGCATGTTGGCCCGGCGAAGTTGTTTTCACACTCGCATACAAAGCCTGACCAGACATCGCGGCACTTGCCATTGTTTCTGTATACAAAATACAAACATTTATATTATTTTGAGATCTTAATTTTCTAAAAACTTTAATATTGAACGTATTTATTTTATTTTGTTTGTTGAATGTCAGTCGTTACCTGCAAGGCGACAAAGCACACAAAGCGGCCTTTTCGGGACAGCCGGCGTTGGTTCCGTTATCAGCCACAAAGGAATTCAAGTCAACAAAAACATAATCGATGTAGAGATCACTGATGCATCCAACGTAGTCCTTGTTTCTAATTTGAAAGTTGGACGGAATTGCTGGCAAACCGCCCAGCTGCAACGGCCCCGTCAGATCCAAAAATCTGTGACAGGTTTCGGTGACGAGTCCGCAGCGTTCTTCGAGGATTCTCTCGCTCCTGCTGGCGCATGCCCATCTCAGTCCCAACCTCTCGCCGTGTTCCAGAGCGAGCGCAACGTCACAATTGTCCACGGACACGGTCACCGTGCGATTGATGTACGAAACCTCCACCTCGTGCCACTGACCGTCCGAGACACCACCGGGAACGCTTGCCGTCGCTCTGGTTATTTCATCACCCAAAGAGAAGCTGAATTGAACGCGCGAGTCCACGATCTCCAAAGCAATGAAGTCGTGGCGTTCGTTGTATCTACCGTTGTAAAGCAACAGACCGTCGGCAAGCTCAGTAGCAAACTTGAGCCTCAGGTGAAGACGATGACGTTGTCGCAGAGATGCGAAAGTGAGGAACGTTGCCGGACCGAAGCTGCGCGCTTTCAATTCGCAGAGAGGCGTTACACTCTCCAGAGCGGACACAGAACAACCCTCGCAAGTAAATCCACCAGTATTCTTCATAGTACACTGCGAGCCACCTTTACATATGCCTGGTGAACAGGTGTCCCGCTCCAGAGAGATCTCGCAGTTTTGTCCAGTAAAATCCGGTCGACAGGTGCACGAGTAACCACCCTCGCGTCTATGGCAGGTACCGCCGTTCGTGCACGGATTCGAGTAGCATAGATTCACCTCGGTGTCACACATGTAAGCCTCGCGACTGCCGGTGAAGCCACGCGCGCATCTACATGCGAACGTGGTCACCGGATAAATCGGCCGGAAGAGAACGGTGTCGCTGCTGGCAAAGCCGGACGCGTTGCCAAACTTTAGCACTGTCAGGCACTCCTCGAAATTCAAGCAAGGCTCCCTGACGCACAAGTTGTCATCAAACGGAAGGACGGTGACCGTCGCCAGTCTTGCAAGGATGCCGCGGTTCAGGTAAACTCGTTCTTGAAGAAACTGCGTACTGTAGAATTCGTCAACCGTGCCAGGTTCCACTTTGCGCGCTGAGAAGCTCACATTCAGAATCTTGCTATGCACATTTGCGTCCTCCTGAATACTAAAGAGAAAAATGTTCTCGCGCGGGCACGGGATGATGGCCGCCAGACCGTCCAAGAAGTATCCCAAAAGAGGACTGAGAAACGCTTCGACCGTCATGTCGTCCAGTCGGACGGTGATTGAATTTAGTAGCATCTCGTCAGTGATCAGACGCACCGATAGCGTCATCGTGGCCTTTGCCTCGTTGATACCATCAGTCACGGCAACCTCCATAGTTGCTACTCGCGGCACGTTGGTGTTGAGCTGCGGCGACAGTCGGATTTCGCCGGAGGTCTTGTTGAGATCGATCAGGTTGGCGTTGTTGCCGGTCAAGATGCTGTAGACGAGATTGTCCGTGACGTCGGCGTCAACTGCCGGTATCCGGCCGATCGGCGCAATCGGAAAGAAGTCCTTGAAATTGTTGAAGATGATCTGGAAATCCTTGAGCACCGGCGCGTTGTCGTTCACATCGGTCACCAGAATTTGCACGATGGCGTCCGAGCGCAGCGGTGGCGACGCGGCGCGCACGACCAGTTCGAACTTCTTCTTCGGCGACTCGTAATCGAGTTCTTCGAGAGTGATCAATTCCGCGCGATCGGCGCCCTGTCGGATATTCAGAGCAAAACTGTTACAGTCTTCACCGCCAATGATGCTGTACTGCACCACTGCGTTGGGACCCTCGTCCGGATCGTGAGCGTAAATCTCGCCGACGGTCGAACCGATCGGCGAATTCTCGGCGATGTAAAGAACGATCTTGTCGTTCTCGAAGGCGGGTGGCGAGTCGTTGATGTCCTCGATCTTGATGTTAATCAACACGACGGACGAGAGCGCGGGTGAGCCGCGATCTATCGCCACGGCCTTCAACGCGTAACGCGCTACCGATTCTCGGTCCAGTGGCTTCGCCGTGCGGATAATGCCGGTCGTGGGATCGATCGCAAATGCGCCGTCGCCGTCGTCCTCCAGAGCGTACTTTACCTGGATTTATTTTCATGTTTTGAGTTTATCAAAGCAATAAATAAACAAAATTATAGAAGGGTATCAGAAAAACCAAATTTGTAGCCAAACTTTAATACTTACCCGACCATTAAGATCAGTATCTGCGTCAGTTGCCGCCACTCTCAGCACACTGGTGCCCGTTAGAACGTCCTCGGGAATCGAACCTTGATATTGCGGCGCTTCGAAGACCGGTGCGTTGTCGTTCACGTCCGTGACGGAGATTTCCACGTCGGTGGTGTCTGACATAGGAGGCACTCCACCGTCTCTAGCGGTTACCGTTAGCAAATACGAAGGAATTATCTCGCGATCGAGCGCTTTGGTCGTAGTGATGGCCCCGGTCTGCGGATTGATCGTGAACTCGGTGACCGCCTGTTCACCGTTGTCGGTGGCCAGACTATAAGAGATCTGAGCGTTCTTGCCGACGTCAGAGTCCGTGGCGCTGACCACCAGGACTGTCACGCCGACCGGCGCGTCCTCGAAAACCGAGACCGAGTACGGAGCGTTCTCGAACACCGGCGAGAAGTTATTCGCATCTGACACGTTGACATAAACTAGAGCGGTGTCGGTGCGACCACCGCTATCCGAAGCTGTTACTGTCAGTACGAATCGCTTCTCCTGCTTGTAGTCGAGCGGCTGTGCGACACTGATGATACCGCGGCCGTTCTGTGATGCAATCGAGAAGCGTCCACGCGTGTTACCGCCCGTGATCTCGTAATGGATCCTCGCATCCTCGTCCGGATCGGTGGCGATCACCGAGACGATGGGGATACCAGGCAGAGTGTCCTCCGATACCACAGCCTCGTAGTTCTTTGGTTCGAAGTAAGGATCGTTGTCGTTCACGTCGGTCACCGTGAGGATTACCGTGGCGCTTGCGGATTTCGGTTCCTTCCCGGAATCCGCCGCGATTACGGTAAACTGATATCTAAATAATTTCACAATTTTGGTACAGAGAAAACGTGAATTTAAAAAAAATTTATAAAACATTGTAACACGTTATCTGCCACAGACCGGCGATTGAGTTTTGCTTTAAGCGTTGCCGGCCCGTACATTAGCGTATTTCACAACAACGCTTCACGATATCGAGTAGCGCGAACGGAAAGTGAAATATAATCGGCGTGGCAGTTAACGTGTTAATTTTAATAAAAATTTACCTCGAACATTGTTCGCGATCTAACTGTTTCGTCGTGTAAATCCAGCCGGTCTCCGTATTCACGGTGATGGGAAAGTTTTCGGTGGAGGCGCCGGTGAAATCGCGCGCGCCGATTGTGTACCTGATGAGTGAGTTGTTACCTTCGTCAGCGTCATAGGCTTGCACCCTAAGCACCGAGTATCCCACCGCCACGTTTTCCGATACCGATTCTTGAAAGTGACTAGTGTAGAATCTCGGTGCGTTGTCGTTGACGTCTTGTACCATGAACAAGAGCTGCGTGGTATTAGAACGGGCGGGCGAGCCGCCGTCCTGGGCGCGGATCACGATCTTGTAGTTTCTGGTGGATTCGTAGTCGAGCGGTTTGACCAGGGCAACGTCGCCGCTCATCGAGTCTATGGAGAAGGTGTTCTGCGTGTTGCCACCAATGATGGCGTAACGTACGGCCGAGTTCGCACCTGCGTCTGCGTCCGTCGCTCGAATATGGGCCACTATCGGATTTGTCGTGTAATCCAAATCTTCAGGCTTGCACTCGGTGTACGTGCGCTCGGTGAATTGCGGATAATTGTCGTTGTCGTCTAGCACGTGCACCACCAACGTTGCATTCGCGCTCCGCCGCGCCGACACCGGTGTCGCTTGATCCGTCACGCTGAGCACCACTGTGTACACCTCGTTCTGCTCGCGATCGAGAGCGACCCGGGTAGTAACTACGCCAGATCTGAATAAAAGAAATTAAATTAAATTACACTTGGTAGATCAAAGAAGAATCAGAGAAATCCTAGGATTTTGTTAACCAACCTGGGATCGATTCTAAAAATTGCAATGTCTTTTGTATGCGCGATGTTACCGCCAGCCACGGTAGAAACGATCGAATATTCCACCTCGGCGTTTCTACTAGTGTCCTGATCTGTAGCCTTGACTGTGATTACTGTGGAGCCCACGGGAACTCCTTCGCGCACCGACGCGTCATATTCCGGCCATTCAAAGCTCGGCGCGTGATCGTTTACGTCCAACACGTTGACTTGAAGCGTCGTCGTGCCGGTGCGGGGAGGAAACGAGTCATCCACTGCTAGCACCTGCGAAATATATGAATTCGTATATGCAACCTTAAAAAAAGTTAAAAATAATCAAGAAAAGTCATGATATTTCTACTAAATGAAGTGTTTATTCAACTTTAGATTTAAGGTCAATAAAAGCCTTTATGCCACTTGCAAATACACTTTAAACGTGTGAATTACTACACATGGAAATTCGAATTAATGTTATTTAGAAACTACTGAAGATGATTAAAAATATAGTCAAAACGTTTGGCAAATTTTAAACATTGCATTTTATCAGCAAAATGCTACCTTGTTCTGCTACCTTGTTCAATTACAGCCGTTATTATTACTTACATTGGTTTTCCAAATTGAATCCAAGGACAATCTCCTTTTCGTTTTTCGTATTTAATTCGAATTAAATTCAATTCGAGACAATTCATCTACTTGATTTGCATTTTGTAAATAAAATATTCAAGTTATTTTCCTATAAAATTGAAAAAAAAAAAACTAATACGAAAAAAACACCTAGCGCTTTGGTGACCAAACTGGGAAGATGTCTTCCCAGCACAGAATGCGAGAAAATCGCGCTTGAACTAATGGCCAACGTGTCATTTTCGCAATAGATTTTTTAAATTTTATAGAGAGAAAATAAGGGTATTTTATATACAGGATGTCTGAACAATTTTGACACATCCGAAATATGAAGATAGATTGGGCCAATCTGAACAGAAAAGTCAACATATTGCGAAGCACAAGCATTAGATAGATAGATATGTGTGGAGCGGGTGGGGTGTGAAATCACTCCCTAGAATGTCACCTAACTAAATCTTCTGCGAAGATCTTCTGTGACTCCAGCCCTAGAGCCCCGATTCAGTTCGCATCTCAATCGGTATACTGATCTCCCTAGACATTCATTTCTGCCCCGGGGAGCTGTGCCCAAGACTGGAAGGACCGGCCAGAATCCGAAGATAAGGATTCGAACTCGAGACCCTACTCGCAGACTCGATGTCTGAACTGCGAACCTCCAGACCGATTAATTTGGGATTACACCCGCATTAATTATTAGACATCTGATTTGGTTTTTGCCGATCAACCGATAAGTCGGTTGAAGAGAACCGGCCTAGAAAAAAGATCCTTTATGTGGTGAGCGGATTCGAACTCGCGATCTCCAGGTTCGCAGCCCCTGCACTCAGACCGCGAGACCACTAGGCCGGTCAAACACAAGCATTATATCATAATAAGAAATATATGTATGTATCTGTCTCGTATATGTGACAAATGAGCAGAGAACACGCATATTATAGATATTATAATTATGTATGTATGTATGTGTATGTACATACATACGTAAACACACGCGCACACAAAACAGGCATATAGATCTTCATACCCCAGACGGCACAATGATGTATTTAAGATGTCTTGAAGATATCTCACAGAGACTTTGAATGTGCAAAAGATATCTCGTTGAGACATTTTCGAACGAGTAATGATGTTCAAATAATATCTCAGGGATATGCCTGAGACTGCTAATGTCCACATCAAAAACATGCAAATGATATCTCTTGCAAAAGTTTTAAAAATGAGGGGAATTTCGAGATTTCACTCGAATTAGTTTTTGAAGGCCTGATAACAGTTCGCCGATCAACCGATGAACTCCATTAAAAGGGACCGGACCTGAAAAATCCTAGGGTGATTAGTGAGATTTGAACTCGAGACCTCCGCAAGCCCATATCCGCAGCCCCTGCACTCAGTCCGCGAGACCACTTGCTTCTTACTAAATTATAATTGTTTTTATCTACTTATTCTCGAGCTATTGTACACATTTTGTTTATTATTTATTTTAATTATTATTTAATAAAAATATTGCAGTGCAATGTATANATTGCAACTTGAGAATTGATTTTCATATCTCGCGCAAAATATATTGTGTGCGAAGATTTGTGATATCATCAATAAATATTTCAAAAATATCATAAGAATATCACGGGAGTGTAATACACTGCATTCAAATTTCCTATACATTAAGCGATGTCTTTGAGATATACTTGAAAGAAAACAGTACTAATATTCTTAGAAGAATATCTGTGTGATATTTCAGGAATGTGATATCACATGATATCACGAAAATGACATAGAAACGATATCATTCTACAACCAAATGATATCATGTGCCGTCTGGGACGTGATAACCTTATCAGTATCAACACTAGATAGAGTTTAGACATAACTCTTTCTCAGATATAAGAATAAACACATTTGCGTATAAATACATAAAGAACTTGGTACACAGTCATAGATTTCTGGAACTCTCATCGAGAATTTATCTCTATAGTTAATATAATTTTTAAACGTGGGATAGAGAATAACTTCTCACTGTAGAATAACTCTATCCCGCCTGAACTAAAATAAACATCATTGATGAAAGTATATATATATATATCATGTATACATGATATATATATGTATATATAGATATATATATATATATCATGTATACATATCATGTATACTTATGTATATTTATTATACGTATACACTTTTATAAATTAATGTTTTTTAACTAGATATGTTGTCATCTTGCGTTTGCGTGGATGTATTCATTTTTTATTTTAAGATTGTATTACTAAGATGATACTAGTAAACTTGTATTAATTTTCATTATTATTCTTTATATAGACTATAACTGAAGAAGATCCTAAAAAGTGGATCGAAACGTATGATCGTTAAATAATAAATATATTCACCATAACAACCAAGTCTTGCTCGTTGGTATTAGCCCTTTTTCTCACAACGTTTACTCTTATAAATGTAATTTGTTATTAAATGTTATGTTGTATATATTAAAAAAGAACGCACAAATTGATTAACAAAAACATAAAATTTGTGCTACTTTTTAGACTTATTCAATATCGATTAGTTCGACGCTGCTTTCACGATAAATGAATTTTACGCTGGCAAGTCGCGAGCAAAGTAAAAACACGAAGATTTGACTTGTCGAATGACAACAGGAAGAAATATTTGTTCGATCGCTATTAATCATTAATATTCACGTATATTGCGCAGAAAAAAAAACAAATTGACTGAACAAAGAAACAATTTCTCGACTTTGTAAATACATTAAATATCGGTTAGTTCGGTTCAAAACGATGAACAATCTCAAAATAGATATTTAAATAATTGTCAATAATTTTGCAAAATGCACAATATTTATTGAGTTATTAATTAATGAATGTGAGCCAATAAACGCATAGAAAGCGACTTTGTAGACGTGTATGATTTTTAGTTGTACCGCCGTAAAAATCAGCTGATCGCAAGAAGCTGTGTCGCACGATAGTCACACGCCATCGGTTCGCGCTCGTTTACTTCGTCTCTCGTTGGTAGGATCTTTTTCTTTACAACTGAAACTCACACACGCCTACAGAGTTTATCGCTTCCCACGTGCTCATTATCTCACATTCATTAATGAATAATTCAATAAATATTGCGAATTTTATGAAAATCATTTACAGAAAGAAAAGTCATTTATCAAAAAATAGTAAATGACTTCTGTTTAGATTGACCTAAACAGAAGTTCTCTATCTTCACACTTCAGCTGTGTCAAAATTTTTCAGACACCCGTATAAGATACAAATCAAGCATTTTAGATGAATTTTCAAATTTAATTCGAATTTTCATACGTAGTAATTTACAAGTTTAAAATATATTTACATGTACATTCAGCATGTAGATTCGCGTTGACTCAAAATCTAAAGTTGAACATTATCACGAGCTTTAATATTTATTTATTGTAAATTTATGTATTTGTATTATTGTAAAATAAAGGATTTTTTTATTCCAACAGAATTTTTATTACATATTTTTTAAATTTGTATTAGATAGTTTTATGATAAATATACATACTCGGAAATAGTGTACGTCGACGGTTTCTCTATCCAATCTGGCGCGTGTTGTTACTCTTCCAGTCATTGGGTCGAGAGCTAACAACGCCTGCGACCTCGCGTCAATCAGCGAGCTCATGGAGTACCGCACGGCTCCGTTTTCGGGATCTCTGGCTCTCACCGAAGTCACGTACAGTCCTGGCTCTCGTTCTTCTTCCACCGGAACAACGTACAGGGGTTGCTCAAAATACGGCGACTGGTTTTTCAGTTCTCGCCTCACTCTCCTGCCCAGATCGGTGTCATCTAGCTGACGGTGATGGAACACGATCTTCAGCCGGTGCTCCGCGTCGGTCAGACGCGATTCGCCGGCACAACGCAAATTCATGGTAACCGAGACCTTCCACAGCGGGTCCACTAGACACTGCTCGGAGGCGGAAACCAAATCTCCGGCGGCGCCTTCTACGAGGAATCTAGGATCAGCCACACCGCCCCATCTGGTCTCGCATTCTTTCATAGCTGTCTGCGGCAAGAAGTCGCGAAGAGCCGCTACTAGCTGAGACGCTCGCAGACACACTTCGGTAAACCTGCGGATTTAATATTGAATATATTAAGTAAAAATTATTCGTGTAAAAACGTGTAGTTATTACGTATCTATATCTTCAAACAAAATAGTGACTCGAATATCGAGTCACTGATTTTCGAGGCACTTGCCAACCTGTCGGCGCTGGGCATCGCGTAAGAAGCAAGAGTCTCCGCCATCCAGCCCCGAGTGGCTGCCAGGTCGTGGTTTTCGCCGCCGCATCCGATGATCAGGATCCTCAGCGGTAGGCTGTAGTAGTCGATAGTTGGTCTACCGAGGCGCGAGCTGGTCGAGTCGACGTAGAAGGTGAAGATGCGCGGGTACTGGAGACCGTCGCAGCTCAGCGTCTTTGCGAGGGTCACACGGCCCGTGTGTGGATGCACTTTAAGAAGCTTCCGGGCGAACCAAGCGGTACGCTCGCTAGACGCCTCGTATCGACGTCGACCGCCCAACTGCGGCACTCCGGCCTCGAAGACGACAGTGCCGACCGGCGTGCCGGACGACAGCACGGCCAGGTAGCCGTCGCTCACCGTCCACACGGCCGTTAGGATCAGCATCACCCATCTCCACCTCGCCATGGCGGATTTTCACTTAATCCGCGCGATCTTGTAGTCTGCGCTGTCCACTTTCTGATGCGTGTCCCATGGTCACGTGGACTCGCGGATTCTTCGCGAGTTTAAAATGCGATCGCGGCAGAATCCATCTGATGGGGAGAAATAAATCAACATTTGGCTCGTCAAAAGACTGAAAAATTAATCAGAGAAATATATAATAAATAAATAAATAAATTTATTTATTTATTGTATATTTCTATTTGTGTATTTTATAAATTTATTTACAATAAACACAGTAAATTTTATTTGATTAGTTAAATAGATTATAAAAAATATAAATATCTTATATAAATATCTTATTTACATTGGGATAAAGAAGTTAAAGTTGAAATAATTTTTCTAGGACCTTTTCAGTGCATTAAAATAACAAGGGTAAGAAACGCCAACAAATAACAGTAATTGCGAGAGATAGCTTCACGTACAGAAGCAGTTTCGCGCGGGACATCTTCTTGTCTCGAACGAGGTACAGCTCGGTTCGGGAAGACAAATCGCGTAGTTAAGGATTGCTCGACGAGTATATATAGGGTGACTTGTCCAGTGAATGAACACCCTCCAGTAAATAAACACGTTGCACTCTATTATATAGAAAATTAAGATCTAGCATGCTCTCTTGATGTTAAAACTGACACAATACTTTCAGTGAAAGTGTCTACAGATATCTCTCAAAAGCATTCTTCTATATATCTATAATTCGTATGTCATTACATTTGATTTATTAAACAGTTGTTTAGATGGCGTCGCACAAGTTCGAAGTAAGCCTTGTTACTTGATATTTACAATTAATATTTTAAGTGCATTTAATGATCTTATGATAAATTTTTATAGTTACATTGTTTAGACATTTCTTTAACAAATTATATAGTAAATAACAGATTTATAAGAATCTATCGATTTTTATTAAGTGTTCATGCATTGAGTGGAAATATCAATGAATACCAAAATAAATGAACAACCGTTCATTCATTGGCAAGCTTTGTGACAAATGCTTTACCAGTAAATGAACATTCAGTCCTTTTCCTCTATTAACTTCTAATACGTAGACATAATTTAACATCTATCAGAATAAAACAATAAATCATATCTACCTAGTATAAAAAATGCATCAATTATAATGTTATCAATTATAATTGCACTGATTTTAGTATATTCTTTTTTGCATTACGTCATCTGAATGGAGAGAAATGGAAGAAAAGAAAAAAAAAGAACAGAAAAAAACAAAATTAGTCAAGTTAGAAAAGATAAAAAATAGAGAAGAAAAGAAAAAAGACAAGAGAAAATGAAGAAGGAAAAAGAAAAAGAAAGATCTAAACAAAAATAGTTAAAAAGAATAGCAAAGACAAAAAATGCAAAAAAATAAAGGAATTCAAAAAGTAAAACTATGTGAATGGAAATGTCCTGAGTGTGAAGAACTTTTTCAAAATCCTTCAAAAGAAGATTGGATTCAGTGCTTATCATGCTCTTTATGATGGCATGAGAACCGTACAGATATTATAATAGAAAAGAAAAATTTATTTGTAACAAATGTTATTAATTTGTTATATTCGAGTTATAATTTTGTTCTTTTTTTTGTTTTTTGATACGACCATACTTTATTAATTTTTTTATACATACAAATGTTTATAGTTTTTTGTACTTTATATGTAATAAATAATATTTTTTATTTAATATTACTCTATATATTTTTTTAAATAAAAACTTACAGTTACATTCAGAATTTCATAAAATATGCACAGTATTTTTTCGCACTCTGATTGCAACAATTGCTCTAATTAATCGAGAAAAATAAATAAGTGCATTGAAAATTACATTTACTTGAAAAATATTATTTCGTTCATTCACTGGAATATTTTTGTTCATTCATTAGAAATTCATGTTCATTTATTGGTCATTTGGCCACTTTTTATTTAATCTTATGCCAGACTTTTAATAAAAGCTATAAATATTAAATATTGCTAGACTTGCATCCTAAAATGTCTGATCTTAATAATAAAACAACTCGTTTACTGTAATAGCATTCAGGAGAGTAGATAACGATTTTTGAAAACTAATTTTAACAGACATGTAGCTTAAGTGTTCATTCACTGGATAGATCACCCTATAAGGATAGGAATACGCGAGGAACTATAGTCCTGTTCTTACGCCTTGGTTCACTCGGTTGCGGTTTAATCGCTCTCGCGCTGCCTCGGAACGCCATAATAGCAGCCAGTATACAAACGGCGGTTTTCGAGGTGCACCTTGCGTTTTCCCCTCGTGAGGCTACACAAAACGTGGGAAATAAACTATTTCCGGCAGTAATACCCAAGAAGAACCGAGGAGATAGCTGCGGAATTTCCGTCGTCCGAGATACATTGACCCTCTTTGTATGCATTATTCACTACATAATTGTATAATTCGTCTCAAAATTGTAACAAGATATACGAGATTTCTTTGTTTATTTGTTTGTGCAGTTACCAATTTTGTTTAAAGAAAATATCGTATAACAATAGTTTTGTGCCGTAATTAGTTTTTTATTATTCTTAAGAGGTTAGGCCATTTTTGAAGTCTTAAAAGGATAAGTTTGGGAATTTTTTGTGGGTAAATAATAATTTTATTGAAAATCTGTTTAGAGCGTTTTATTGCGCATATGTAACAAAAAAATTTTTTTCTTATGTTTAAAATAGCAGCGCACTGGCCCACTTTGCAGAATTGTTTTTTCGCAACTTCAAATCGGTGTACAAAATTTGATAAGTACACGGTTTAATCTTGAATAAAACAAAAACTTTTCTTTTATCTACATATCAAAGACTAAAGAAGTACGTAGGAATTTGTCAAAATATTAATTTTTTTCAAAATAGAAGCTTTTTTTTTACAAAAGACTTGAATTTTTATTTTAGATGTACGCAAAATTGTTAATTGTAAGAAGAGTTTTCAACAATGAAAATTTTTTGTTTTGTTCAAGACCAAACCGTGTGCCTAAGATCTGAAACACCGATTCGAAACTGCAGAAAAAAAAGAATACTGGAAGTGCGCCGCCATTGTGGACATAAAAACAATTTAAAAAATATTTTTTTACTTTGTTATATATCTACAATAAAGTTCTCTGAACAGATTTTAAATACAGTTATTTATTTACCCACAAAAAATTCCCAAACTCAGGTATCATTTTTTACACCTTCAAAGGTGATCCAATCCCTCAACAACGGTTGTTTTTATTAATTTTTAATAATTATGAAGTTTTGAGAAAACTTCGTGCAAAGTACAGATAAACTACGTGCGCAGCACAGATAAATTCATGACAAAACGCCAGATTGTCACACATAATTCAGATCGCCATTAAATCACTCTGTTAATTCCCCAAAGACGAAAGTTGTTCACAAAATAAATGTTATGACTTTAATCTCTGCCCACATTGCGCGTCGTCGAATTTTCGTGTGCATTCGTAGAAAAACCTCGTGATACCGTGCGAATATCAAAAATATTTTAACGTCGCGCGTAATGAGGCGCAGCGGCACAATATCGGCACACAAGTTTATTCGCTCGTCGTATCTGCTGCGCAAAAGATAGCGCAGAATTTAATTTAACACCTTGAGAGATTCGACAAAAGAGCCGTTCACAATTCCGCGAGCGCCAATACTTTCTAAAGAAATAACTGTAAAATATAATATCCACGGCGAGCGATCGCGCATGATTGAGCGTGTAATGCGCTTAGTAAAAAAAAACACACATTTTTTTAAGTCGAAAGAATTAAGAACGAACTGTCCAAAGGAGAGATTTTTCATTTGTCATATTTTTTTTCGACGACAGCCTATCGGAATTTCCGATATGTCTTAATCAAGAATCACGTTTGACGCAAGACGTCCAAATGAAGGCGAAGGAGCGCGTCGGTGCGCGACATCCGCACAATAAACATCGCCAGGTGATTTATGTACTTGAATCGTCTGGACTCTCGACTATCGCGTCTCTCGATCCACGATTCCCTCCTCTCCTCCGGTATAACAAGTATCCGCAAACCGCATCTCGCTTGCTTCGATTTGCTTGCTACCTGTGCTGAAGTTAACGCGTCGACTTTTTGAGCGCGAGGATTCGCCCGGTTAATCGATTATGTGCAGATCCCGAGTTTATCGATCACTTGTCGCAGCGAGAGTACTCACTTTAGGTGCATCATTACTAGCTAAGAATAAAACAATAACAAACAAAACGCGGATAAAAGTGCGTTATTTAAGTGTGAATAAAATTAAAAAAACAAATTTAAAACAAAATTTTAGGTCTTATTTTGTGACAACTTAAACATATTTCATCGTGTAATATCTACATGTAACAAGACAAGAGAGTTTTTAAACAACAGTCTGAGAAAGTTGTTAGCACCGTTTTTTTTAGATTCGCACGTGTGGTTGCGGCGGTAGTTTTTAAATAAACAAAGATTTCCTGGGCTTTTTTTTTGTTAAATTGAACATATTCCATCGTGTAATATCTATCGATACATGCGATAAGACTGTTGGTGTTTGGAACAAAAGCCTGAGGACTAGCACAGTCCATGATTCTTACAATTAAAGGAAAAAGAAGTGCGACAAATGTAACATGCAATTGTGTTGTACCAAGATCGGAAGATTTGTTTGTTCGCTTTTCAATTGTCAACTTAATTTCACGATCGATTACTGCTCTCCACCGACTAATCTCTTTATTAAACGTTATTAGATCGCCGGTCTGGCGAGTAGAGAATATTCAAACGAGAAATCTCGGGCGCGCGCAGAAACTCGTCAAGTATATAATCGAGCCGAGAAACTTTAGTCGACGACGGATGCGAACCGTGCAATCGGCAAGACGTACGGATGCACGAGCGCATCTTCTCTCGTGCAGGCAGTTCGCCGCGAGATTATTCCGCTCATTGGTCCCCTTCGAGATCGGCGGCGAAGCAAGTCGATCGTGCCGAGAACGCGCGCGGTCCGATACTCACTTACTCCGGCCTTTGCGGCCGATCGTCCTTTTTAGTCGCCCGAGGCGATCTAGCCGATCCGGTTTTCGCCAATCCGCGCGACCGTCGTACACAACACGAACCAATCGAACCTCAGAGGCCTCCATTGCAACAGTTAGAAACTCATCCGTGAATAAA